TTAAACCAAAACAAATCTATATTTGTCTTTAATACATTTTTTAAATTTTCACATTTGAAAGATATGTTATCCAACGTTTGAATCAATAGCAATATTCAAATCAAAAAGCACAGCTACATTAAAATATTTTAGTTCAGGAATAATAATCAAATCTCAGCCAAACAAGATGTAGATTATCCTCAAAAGTTGAAAGTAACATATCGGCCTAATAAGTTGAGAGCAAGAAATCAACTAGAGCCAGGATGGAAAGAATTTATGCAAGCTAAATTTTCTGCTGAAAAGAATCCTGAGCTCAATTGTTAGAGGAAATTCTTGTTTTCAGTTTCTTTTTTTTTTGTTTCTTTTTTTTTTTTTTTTGAGACGGAGTTTTGCTCTTGTTACCCAGGCTGGACTGCAATGGCGCGATCTCGGCTCACTGCAACCTCCGCCTCCTGGGTTCAGGCAATTCTCCTGCCTCAGCCTCCTGAGTAGCTGGGATTACAGGCACGTGCCACCATGCCCAGCTAATTTAGTAGAGACGGGGTTTCACCAGGTTGACCGAGATGGTCTCGATCTTTTGACCTCGTGATCCACCCGCCTTGGCCTCCCAAAGTGCTGGGATTACAGGCTTGAGCCAGCGCGCCCGGCCTCTTATTTTCAGTTTCTTTGTAACAACCTTATTCTAGAATGTGTTCATTAGCGTGGGGCTGTCATGCTTTCTAAATTCCTATAGTTACCATATCTTCTAACAAGATGGACAATTAGCACTTGCAATCTCTGAGATAACAAAAAGCCTTAGTCAGATAAGGGACACTATTTAGAATATAAAAAGAGAAACAGGGTAACGAAGCCGTCTGAAATTAAGCTGATCTATAATTATATAAACTGAAAATTTTTTCTGTCATGTTGACATTTTAATATTTCATCATTATAATTTGGATTTGTATCTGCATAGCTAATTAGATGATATGTTTTTCTGTATTTTACTAAACTATTAATAAATTTATAAAACAACCATATGCACTCACCCAGTAGTCAACATATTTTGACCAAAAAGCAGAGAAATTTAATTATTTTTTTATTTACTCCACTTCTGATTTTATAAGTACATTTACATGAGGTCACACATTACAACAGATAATTAAAAGAAAATAATATATCATTACCTGAGAAACCAAAATTGCAATAGTTAAGGTGATGAAAAAGAACAGATATAAAAGCCTTAAGATCCTATACAGCTATTCATTTTCAGCTGTTAATTTGACTCTGACATCCCTAGTAACTAAAATAAATGCTAATTTTAATTAGTTACATGATTTTCATTGTATATAAGAACAAAACATACCACTTTACCGGGGTTGATTTAAGTGAGGAGGAGAGGTATGAAAGTTTAATTCATGAAACTGGGATTGAAAGAAATGCTTTGGGGGCTATGTCTCTGAAATATAAACTCCTTAGGCATCTTTATATAAGAAATAGTAACTTACATGTTGACCAAGACTTTAGTAACAGCCCTGTAGTAGACATAGAGCAGGTTGTGGGAGCTGGGAGCTGTTTCACATAGAATTATTGTGTATAAGCTGACAGCATAATGTCAAAGCATAGTAAAGGCAATTCTGTTTGGGGAACTTCTAAACAATGCCACCCACATATATACCTTTCTAATAACTTGAATTGTTCTGAAAATAAATCATAGATGCACCACAATATAGATTATCCACGTGTGCTTCAGAAAGGCATTCATATATTTCATGTCTTTCAGCAATTCGTTTGTAAAAGTTGGGCAGCAGATATTGGCAAGAACCTGAAGTGCAAGTATTCTGTGTTTTACCTTTTTGCAATTCTTCATCCCTTCTTTGGCAATGGATAACAAAATATGAATAGCATATTAATCTGTGTTTGTATAGAACTTTGTAGAACTTGCCATATTATTTTGCCATGTATCTCCTCAAGGGCAGAGACCAAACCTCATTTATCTTTGTATTTCGGCATCTAGCAAAGAAAGTGGAGCCTAATGGATTTTTAATCCATTGTGCTTTCCTGAATAAGCCATTTTGCACACTTTTTGAGAGCATCATTACCTTTCATATAGCTTGAAAAGGGTCAGGGTCATGCACCAACTAATACCAAGGAACCTAATTTATAGTCAAAGCTTTCCTTTGGCATCAATTCAGAAGCATTAATGGGAAACACTAGCAACCTTCAAAATGTAAGCATGTGTGTCAATGACATGACAGATCAACATTCACATAAATGATCTATGAAAAAAGAGCCATTTTCTACCTTCTAAACTAAATGAGAATTAAATCTGTAATATCCAGATTTTAAAAATCAGCTTCATGGGCATTCAACATGGAGCCATATTTAAAGTCATAAAATAAAAAGTCAAAGTCTCCAACCATGTTAATAAATTATTGGAGTGGGGCTCATATATCCACAGCAGTATCAGGTAACTTAGTTCTGCTCCCTTGAGCTGGGCCTGCAAAGAGAATGAATAATTGTAATCATAGTGTGGAAATACAGAGTCAACTACCAACTATACCACTGGTCCAGCCAGACAATGTCAAAATCAAAATCAAATGAATCAAATTTATAAAAATTGTTAATACTGTACAGACAAAATGTTTGCATGATTAACCTCTGAATTAATTTTGAATAAATTATTTTTGTAACTGTTTGGAAACATACCTAGGATAATAGATGGAATAAAATGATCTCCTTTCCCACACTCTATGAGTGACTGCATTGCCAGAATACAATATCTCTAGCATGTTGCCACTTTATTTATTTCTATTTATTTATTTATTCTTGAGACAGTGTCTTGCTCTGTCCCCCAGACTGGAGTGCAGTGGCACAATCGATCTCAGCTCACTGCAGTCTCTGCCTTCTGGTAACCAATTCTCCTGACTCAGTCTCCTGAGTAGCTGGGATTACAGGTGCCCACCACCACGCCCAGCTAATTTTTGTATTTTTAGTAGAGACAAGGTTTCACCATGTTGGCCAGGCTGGTTTCGAACTCCTGACCTCAGGTGATCTTCTTGCCTTGGCCTCCCAATGTGCTGGGATTACAGGCATGAGCCACCACTCCCAGCTGCATCTTGCTACTTTAATTGGTCCCAAAACTAGTAATATCTGGCATCACCTAGGAAATTGTCAGAAAAGCACAATCTGAGACCCAAACCCACACCTACTAAATCAGAATCTGCATTTTAGCAAGATCATTGGAGATTCATGTGCATGTTATATTTCAAGAAGCACTGCTCCAGCACAGAGCGCTAATAAAGAATATGGCCCTTGGCAAACTTAAAGAGTCAATAAAACCATAGCCATGGAAATGTCCCTAGAAGAAGATATGTCTTTCACTCTTCCATAGGGGGCAGTTAGTTCTCCTACATTTTAGGACATTTTAATAGTTTCAAATAAAAAACAACTTTTAAAAAATGTGGTCTTATATGAACACTCAGTTATACATTGCCTATTTTTTGTAATAGCATTACATTTCCCAAATCAGTAAATCCTGTAAATAATATAATAAAAAACTTTGTCTTCACTTTGTTATTGAATCTAGTTATACTTATTACGTGTTTTCAACTTATTTTGTTTAGATGAATGATGTCCCAATTCTGTATCTACCTTTCCCCCAACCACTCACAGTCCAGTAGTTATAAGGTGAATAATTAAGGTTGTAGGGAATCTACAAGTACTTGCGACTTGTAGGTTCTGGATATAATAGCAAAACATAAATAGAATTGGAAACCCTATAATTGAGTTTGTTGAAACGACCAGACCCCTAAAATAAGGATAAAGAGCAAAGTTTCTGTTGTTTTGTTTTGCTTTGCTTTGCTTTGCCTTCCTTTCATGTCGGTTAGGTTTAGAATCTACATATTCAACACTGCTTAGAAAACGTTAACTGGCAGCTATCTAGTGCTTTATCAGAGCGTTTCCTGGATGCTATTTGTGGTCTTCTAGCTCGCATTTGGGAGCCAGGTCTCACTACGAACCATTTCAGCACTACGGACAGCGCCTAGGCGCCTTCTCCTGGGAACCGAGGGGGATTCAGTTGTTTTTGTGTGGAAGGGGGAAGGGAAAGAGTAAAGAAAAAATAACTCCAAACGACACATTCAGTCTCCAGTTAAACCAATACACCTTTCATTCCTGAATTTTCCTTGCCAGATAAGATGAAACATGTAAGAATTTAGCACCTACTGTTCGACTGAAACGGCTGCCACCAAAGCACAGGAAAATGCCCGCGGCACAGCTAGGAATGCAGCAAAGAGAGCAAAACAAGGATTTCAGCAGTGAATTAATTAAACCCCCACTGCCTTAGTAAACAAAGATAGTGATGAAATCTAATTGCTAACCTTAAGGGTGTGTCATGAGAGAAAAATGAGCGTCTATTTTTTTCTTCTTCTTTTTCCTCTCTTTCTCTTTCTTTTAGCAGGAATAGAGAGAGCCTGTTGCTGCTGGAGCCGATTCCCTTCCCCTCCTCATCTCCCACCTCTTTTCAGTCTCACATACACACACAGACGCTGTCAGGGACACACGCGAGCGCAAATATCTAAACACTGCCACACCGAGGAAATCCATGCACGTTTTCCTGCAAACACACGCGCGCGCGCACACGTACTTCGGCGGGCGCCCACGTCCTCTGTCTCACCGACAGCCACAGACATTTACACTCCTAGGCCAGGAAAGCGCTAGCCAGGGTCCTGTGACTCCACGCAGGTTCCAGAACACGCCTTCTACATTGTTACTGAACCGATCAGCGAACACAGACAAACGTGCCAACACTTAAGTCTACTGGCTGGACTTCATTTCCATGGCAACAAGCATGGAAGGTGAGACATCGCTGCTTGCGAAGTAACTTTCTCCTCCTTCCCTCCGCATTAACTGACAGCGTTCCAAATGCAGGTCCAGATGAGAAGCATGCCCTCATTCTCTTGCATTTCTGAAGCAAAACAGCTAGTGGTGGGGCGGTGGGCGGGGGAGCCAGCAGGTCTGATAAGTTCACATTCTGAAAGGGAAACAGCAGCCCTAATGCTAGCGCCACCGCTGATGCGGCTGCCAGGGGGGGAAAGTGTTGTGTACGTGCAGATTGCTGATGCTTCTCCCATAATGTTTTGTAGGAAGTTTCCATGCTTCTTCGGCTTAGTACGTAGAAGGAGACCTGGAGACAACGCAGAATGATGATGATGATGGTCTAGATTTTTTTAAATGAGATATTTGGAGAATTTTCAGACTAGGTTTCCCAGTGCTTTGGAAGGATTGAGTGTCAGAGTCCTTGAGCCATCAAAAGATTCTCTTGAGAGAAAAATTCTCTTAAGGTTGAAATCTGAGGGTTTGGGGGTGGATACTGGCAGATCCTAAGATGTGGGATCTCTGGAAAGCCCTGAAGTTTATGCATTTCACCATGATGAAGACATCTGGGTTTGTAATTTAAGGTTTTCCTTTGATTCCAACACATTTGATTCTTAATGATTAACTACCTCTGTGCAGATGTGGCTTCAATAATGCTTCTTTTCTCTCTTTTACTGGGATATAATAACCTTTATATTTTGTGTGGAATGTATATACGTATGGAAGTGTTCATTATTTTTTAAGCTGTGTTTTCCTACACGTCTTATTTTATGAAGTTATGAATGTCATCATTAGCAGTAGAGATTATTGTATCTAACTGCCAGTACTAAAATACTTTTCACTTAGAACATCATATTCCACTCTAATAGTTACTATTTCAGGTTTACTATTTGGAATACCATTACTAGATAAATAAGAGGAAAAACCTGTTGATTAAAATTAAACACAGGGGGTTCTTTCTGTAATGGGTACACATTTTTTAACATTGGGTTCTGTAATTGTTCATTATTGTATGATGATTAAATGATTTTATCTGAAAGGTGTGTTTTTATATCTCTAGTAAGGTTATGTCACAGAAGTGAACATCACTAACAATATTCATGAATATGAAAGGCTGCATTCCAGGTATAAAAATACTATGCTTGACTACTTTACAGGGGTATGATTTGTAAGTACTGATGGTAGGAAGACTTTGTTTTTCACTTACTGGCTGCTAACTACAAAGCAACTTCATGAGATTTGGGCTATTTGATATCTACAGGAATACCCTTGGCCTAATCTTATGACTCATCAGTACTTAGAAATCTTAGTGCCTAACAATTGTCATGAAGGAAATGTACTTTCAACCAAGTTACTCATTGCCAAAGTACCTAATCATTTATTCCAGTGAATATGGCTCAAGACAGTATTTTATTATTTGCATCAGTAGTACTAAAAGATACTTAAATATTTTAATCATTCTTCATATTGATCCTGATATTTAAATTGTGCATTGTTGATTTTACCCATTTTTTGTGCTGTAATATACTACAAATAATTTTTACCATTACCCCATTTTACATTCTACTTATTTTTGAAATTTTATTTTTTTAACTATTTTCATATGGATTTTTTAATTTGTGGTTTTGGAACGTCATCTAAATTTTCTCAGATTTCTTTCATTTTCTATTTCCCAGCAAACAGGATATTAAGATGATGCTTATTTAGAGCTAGGTATTACAGTGTTTGTCGTGAAGAGCTCTTCCAACAATTAGAAAGAGTGAAAATGCATATCTTATCTATAACTGTTGAGTATTTTGAATACCTTAGTAATTGTGAAGGAATCAGTTTTGCAACTGGAAACTTATGCTTTTAACAATATGTTGTAGTTAACAATATTTTTATATCATAGTGTTCTCTATATCAATAGAAAAGCAGAAGACTTGGAACACTTAACAGTATATTCTCAAAAACTTCAGATTTGGTGTTGGAATGAGACAAGTTGCTCATTTCACAGAGCAAGTAAAATGGAAAGTTTGGGCAATCATTCGAAAACTTTAGGCCAGAAATACTGGCATTTCAATTGCTACATATATAGTTTAAATTACCAAAGCCATCTATTTGCTGAACATATTGTTAGGCAATTGCTTAACTTTTTACTTCTGTTTGCTTGTGTAGTCACAGCCTGAAGCAATGGCCAGACTTTTTGATCAGCCTTTGCATATTACTTCAGTTGTTCTCCTTGACCTGCATTTTCTTTTCATCTTTAGTATAGACTTTTATGATAAATATAAAAGCCTGTTTTCCCTTTTAAGATATTAATAAAACATTTGTTCTTTCTCAATCCATTTTTTGTTAAAAATGGACATGTTTACAGTTCTTTGAACCCAGGTAAATTTATGTGGCTCTTTCATTAAAAACTGAATATGCAGTCATGTCTTCAATATAGAAAGTGATTCTTCTTATAATTTAACCTTCTGTACCGTTAATTTTTGACTAAGTAAAACTTATTTTCTGTCAAGTGTATTTACCATCTGACTCTGTTTTCTCATTTTCCTCACTCCTAACTCCCATTCAATTTAGTGTCCCTCCTCAACCCTCAACTAAATTTTTATAATGATGAAATAATTCCAAATGCCAACCATAAGACCCTGTTTTCAGTGGTTAGTTTTCATCACCACTGCAGAATTTGACAGTATTTACTAATGCCTCCTTCTAGAAAGCCTGGCCTCCTTTACCGTGGTAAACTTTCTGCTACAGATTTACTCATGATCCTTCTTATATAACTCCATTAGGAGATTCTCCTTGTAGGAGAGGCATTCCTTGAAGCTCCTTGCTAGGCTTCTTCCATCTTTAAACATTTCTGGTAACAGAAAATAGACTTTAATGGAATTACAATAAAATTGGTCTATGGATCAATCTGGAACGAGCCCATCCGGCTTTCTACAAGATAATACTTCCAATATTTGAATCTACCTATTGTCATCTTTGGTCTTCCATTGCCTAGGCAAAACTCAACAATTCTTTTCTTTAAGATGTGATCTGCAAATACTTCCATGTACTGGGCTCTCTCCATCCTGGATACAGTCTTCTACACAAACATTATTTAACAACAATACCTTAAAATATTCTCTCCATCAAAAATTTTATGCTAAACAAAATGATCTAGATTAATGTATTGAAAGCTGTCAATTGAGTACTTACTATGCATCACACATGAGTACTACAAATTCACCAAGTTCAGACGTAAACTCATCATTTACTTTCTAATTCTATACTTTGCTCTTACTTTCTTTGTTTTATAAAAACACTATATTTATACTTGTTCAAGCTTAATAGTGTAGAGTCGTCTTTGATGCTTCCCTCTCCATGGGCCCACTACTTTCTAAATCCTACCGCTCCTATTTTTCTAAATATCTTTCCAACCTCTGCCATCTTCCACACATCTAATCCCTAGTGTAGACCCTCATTGCTTCTCACCTGAACCATTTCTTTCCATGATGCTTTATCTTTCAAAATTATGTCTATTTCAGTCTCATCATCAAGACACTCAGCCTTTAAGCAAATAAATTTCAAACTCTTAGCCTGGCAGTCAAAATACCGGAACCTACCTTTCCAATGCTTGGTTTCCTATACTCCCTCTAGCCTGTACCAAATTGCTCACTGTACTCTGAATAAATCCAGTACATTTCAGTCTTCATATTTATTGTCATGCTCTTTTCTTCTTTTCAGATCTGAATTGTTCTGTTTCTCAAGACTCAGTTTAAATACAATCTCTTGTGAACAAAACTTTCCTGATCCCTCAATGGGTGAAATGTTGATTCCATCTAAACTTGTTTATCCTTTTTGGATCTTCTCTTTTTTCACCAAGATGTTGAAGATAACAATATCAACACAATGTGGGCATTGTGGGAATTAAATAAAATAATGTACATAAAGAAGTATTTTGATATACAATAGATTTTAAATACAAGTTTGTTTCCTCCTCTTTTTTATTGCTTTCGTAGAAGCCTGCATTGCTGTTTTTTCCTTGTATGTACATGGCTCTTCTCTCTTACTAGCTGGAACCTTTTTGAGTAGAGGGGTCCATGTCTACTAGAGCATAGTAGCAACCCAATAAATATTTTTCAATGAAAGTATAGTGAATAAACGCAGTGTCACTTTATATGTGACCTGACTGATGTATTATAACAGTGTTATTACTTTCTATCATTTGTACTCCCATTCAATTTAAGACATTTGCTTTTGTAAGCCACGACCTCATGTCTTTGGCTCATATTAACTTGATTAATGGCAGCTTACAGATTTATTTTACATGAGCTGCCAGGTCATCGTCTCCCCTGTTTGGGATTGGTGCATCTCCTTCCCTCCCACCTAAACATTGGGCTTTAGAAGTGTTTCTATTAAATTTTATGCTGTGTTTTCAACTCAAAATTCTAGGCATCAGACTTGTTTTGAGTCTTTATTCAATGTGCTATCATATTTCATTCAAGCTTTGTCAAATTGAATAAGCTTCACTTCAATATCTTCAACTTAGTTATTGTTAAGAAACACTGAAAACCATGTGTAGATAAAGTCAAACCTTTGTAATACCACACTGGAGACCCATCTCCATGATCACAGAACCCAATATTTATTAGGGTAGTTCAGAGCTATGAATCTACATAAAAATATTATTATCCAGGCATATCTCATGTCTTCCCCACAAAGATATCATGGGAGGCTTTAAATGCATTGCCAAAATAACCAAACCTTGTCCACGCTATTTCCCTGATTCACCATCTTAGTAGTAAACTTTCAAAAAGGAAGTGAACTGGCACTACCTATTAACTCATGTTAACTTGTAATGACTTCTGAAATATTGACAAATTACTTGTTAAATAATTAATTATGGGTTTGCAACAAAGATCAATTCCAAGTTACTGATGCATACTTTTTACAATTTCTCCTTACTCCTCTTGAAAATTGAGACATTTGTCCATGTCCTTGCCTCTGGCAGCAATTTCATGGTCTGTAATTTCTCAAAAGTCTTGAAAGTACATCTCCAAGTCATAAAGTATCTGTTCATGAGAGTGTTAACTCATTTAGTGTGGCTACACATTATTCTACTAAAGTATTTGTCCCCTTACATTGTTTGATTTTTTTTTTTTTGGTCATTTCTAAAGTTCATTCTACATTGGTTAAAAAGACAGAAGTAGATTAAGTAGATGTTTTGTTGTTGTTGTTGTTATTTGATAACATTAAACAGTCTTGTACAAATAAAGGGCTTAATCTTATATTGGTCTATCTCTTGATATGAACATACTGTATATGAAATCCTTCCACCTCAAAGCCTTTGTAAAGGCTGTTTCCACAAAGTTCAAATCTATTCCTCCAAATTTTTCATGGTTCTCTTCTAGACATCATTCAGGGCTAATACTGCCTCCCTAGGGAAGCCTTTGCTGACCTCTTTAACTAAAGGAATGTTGCTTCCTTCTCTTTCCTCTTAACTCGCTTTGCTTTCTTTCGTAGCCTTTATGACTATGACTGCCTACCATAGGATATAGATATGGTTATATAGAGATAGATATTTTTAAATAATTGTGTCTGTC